GATGGGCATACTCTGGAAGTTGTAAAAATCCTTTTGACTAAACTGAAAGTTGCAAGTGTTGAGTATAATCAGGATCTTGAGGGATATGTAGGTTTTTTGTCTTATTTTGTACCTTACTTATCTCGTTCTTACACTTTCTACATTTTCTTAAATTCATAATTGAGTAGTTATCATTTCAAGAATTTTATGAAAAAATTCAAGCATTTAATTCAATCTCTCTCAAATTATCAATAAACAAAATGATCGTACAAATACCCTTTATATTCATCATGGCAACATTAATATTAAGTATCGTGGCGGTGAAAACTTTAGGCCCTTTCATTCATCAAGATCGAATTATATTAGGGATTGTGCTAATTATATTTTTGGTTTTGATTACGTTCATGTATTTCTATATTCATCAAAAAATAAAGCACGTACGTAGGTAATCCATTTCAAGATGTTGCGATTTATTCAAGTTTTAACTTAAAATTTTAAATTATAATAGTTCAATTCTCTATCAATGTTAATACAAGAATTCAATAAAGAAGACAATAAACGTAACGTTAATTGGAGATTGCATAAAGTTGAAGAACCACGAAGCAGTAATGCATATTTTAAATTACGTTCTAATATTAAAATGGTAGCTCATTATAAAATACCTGCTTTTATTATTGAATTAACCATTGAATGCTGACGAATTCTCTATTTAAATTTTCTAAAGTATTTGATAATTGAAATAGTATTACCCCCTGCATATCAGGCATATCAGGTACATCAGGCGGAGAATGTCCACATCGTTATTCATGATAATGAAAGCACGGCGCTTAGTACAGAAAATTCTCCACCATACGAAGAATCTTTGGAATTTTCTTTGCTTCCTAATGCCAACGGTCATAATTCTCGTATCTCATCACCACCACCTGTTTATTCCGAATACTGATTACGTAATATTAATCACATGTAAATGCATCCAATGGATTTTTTCATAAATTCATTTTTTTTAATGTCAATCCAATTATGTTTCGACAAACGTTAAGTCTTCTCAAAAATACTACAATGAGTAGACTCAGGGATAAAAATGTGTTAATGTATTTGTTTATTTCTATTATATATTTAATGTAATTTAAAAAGACGAAATGACATTTCAAAAAGCAATTTTCAAAAAATAAAGAACTTTCAAATTTTATGAAATGATTTGTACAAAAAAAAGAATGTTCATCTGATTTTTGATCTCATTTGTTTAATAAATTTCTAGCACTGGTGCTTCTGCTGGTATAGGCGAAGCATGCGCCAAAGAATTTGCAAAAGTTGGCTCAAATTTGGTGATTGTTCTTTATATACTGAATTTAAACCTACTCCTTCAAATATCAATCAATTCACTTTATTCATTTTACCTTTACTACTCATGATCTTTCCAAAATTAATCATTGTTTCGATTCTCGCCTCTATTCTTTATTCATTCTTAAATCAGATTCTAACAGCCAGGAGAATCGATCGTCTAAATGAACTAAAACAAAATATTTTATCTGAACATCCAAAAATAAAAGTTTATACTCGCCAATTGGACGTACGTGATAAATCCACTGTTGATCAATTGGTTTCGAGTTTACCTAGTGATTTAAAGGAAATTGACGTTTTGGTTAATAATGCTGGTAACATTATTGGTTTATTATCATCTTTAAAACTAATTATATTTACTACAATTAATTACTTTTTTTTTTTTTTAAAAAAAAAAAAAAAGGACTAGTAAAAGGAATGGACAAGATTGATAACGTTTCTTCGGATGATATCGATATCATGGTTGATACAAATGTTAAAGGATTATTGTACGTTACTCAAGCTGTTCTTCCAAGAATGAAGGAACGTCAAAAGGGCCATATAATTAATATTGGTTCTATATCAGGTTTGTTGTTTAACATTTTTATCCGATCTTTATATTAAACTGTTTGGCATATTTATTTGTAGATTATGACTATAGGACAACAAGTCTACGCTAATGGTGGTGTATATTGTGCATCAAAACACGCTGTTAATGCTTTATCAAGGACATTACTTCATGAATTGGTAACTTTCATTCGTTTCATGCCTATCATTTTCTATTAATATAATAAATATATGTTTATAAGTGTACTATATGTAACTGTATATTATCAATTGTTGTGAAAGGTGGACACTCCAATTAGGGTCACGGAAATAAATCCTGGTAAAATTTTGGCTTTAATTCTTTCTTTCTTTTTCTTTTTCTTACGATCTCTTATGGAACTTTATTTTTATTTTATTTTTTTAACTTTAAGGCATGGTAGAAACCGAATTCTCTTTTATCAGGTTTGGTGGTGATAAAGCAAGGGCCGACAAAGTTTATGAAGGCATAGTAAGTTATACTTACTTGGTTTGTGCTATTGCTACATCTATTTCATTCCTTTTTTTAACCATCTTTTCGACTTAAGACACCGTTGACTGGTGAAGATATTGGTAAAATAAATTATCAATTATTTGTATATTTACATATTTATTTCATACTAATATTTTAATTATATTAAACTATTTATGAATAGCTGAAACTGTTGTATTTGTTGCATCTAGACCAGACCATGTTAACATTGCAGATGTTACATTATATCCTGTTAACCAGGTAATTAATGATTACGTTGTTTTATCGTTTTTTACTTTGTTTTATCTAATTTATTTTAAAAATAGGCATCGGTTTATTTAGTACATAGGCCCCATACTAAAAAATAGCTGTTATAGATATATATATATATATATATATATATGTTACGAGTCATATTGGTTTTTAGGTTAAGATAAACTTGACTCGGTCAACTTAATCAAACTCGAATCCGTATAAATTAAGTTGATCTATGGTTCACGTCTCTTATAGTCACCCAAAGAAATTTATATAATTTCAAATAACATCATGTTTTTTAATTTAAATGATATTAAAAATATAAACCGTAAAATAGTAAATCTGAAACTTCTCTTTCAGATTTACGGTTAACTTTTTTTAATTTTGTTATTTGGCGAAGTATTAAAGGTTAAAATCAAGTGGTTTCTCAAATTTCGAACCAAATATAATTTTTCTTTGGCAATATGAAATTTGACCAATAATAATTGATGCACGTGATCAAAATCTGTAAAAATTTTGGTGAAACAGATCTAGCATTACCAACTTAAAAAATTTCGCTAAAAAATTTTGTTATTAGATTAGGGTTAGGTTTTGCTGTTAAGTTAGGGTTCAAAAATAAAATGAGTTTTATTGTGTCACACCTGTTCTTGAAATCTGATTGGCCAGTGAAATTTTTTTGTGTTGGTAATGCTAAAACAAGTTGTATATGTGAACTATAGTCAAATTAATTTAACTGAGTCATATTAAACCATAAGTTATTATGTATTTATAAATATATATATTATCTACTGCTATTTAAAGGTCATTGCCTTGAAAATCACCTTATAACATTTTCTGATTTGGCTAGTTTGGTTTGTATTTATATGTGGTTACTGGTTAGCAGCTACATATCTATCAGCTATTACACTAACTATTTGAATCTAGTCTAGTAAGAAAATCTAAGCTGTGAGGTTTGGGCCCAATAGCTTAGCGGTTAAGCTGCCAAACTCCCACAGACTAGGTCAACGGTTCAAGTCAGGCTAGAGGCAAAAATCTTAGGATTTTTAGCTTCTGTAACCCAATAGGGGGCCATAATTGAATGCGGAGCCCTGTGGTTAAGTCCAAG